CAGCTAGAGAGGTCATCATATAATTAACAAAGTTAGGGTACATTGACAAAACAAAGCCCTGATGGTATAAAGTGCATAAATATTAGTAGTTAATTCAACTTCCTTGGCACCAAATTCTCAGTTAAGTTGTTCCTGACTAAATGTGTTCGTGAAATGTAATGTTGTCCCATGAAATTTGCTTTTTTGCTTTGGGAAAAGGTACAACTTTATGTCTAGCTGTAAAGTGCCATTTCACGTCTTCAAAGTTTTCATTACCTTGCTTGCAATAAGGCTTAAATACCAGAGAAGTGGAGGAAAATATGAAACAAGGTAACTATTTAATACAACTCTTGGAAAACCTTGAGGTTATAATGGCTTTGCCATTTATTATTTATATTGCATGGTGGGTGCACACTTTGCCAAGCAACGCATAACCAGGCTGCTTCTCAGACTATGGCTTCAAAATTGAAAAGAAATGAAAGAAAATCAATATCACTGTGTTTCAATTTAGCAATAACATTCAGGTATTAGGATTATTTTAGCTCTTCCTTTATATTCCAGTCTGAAAATAGTTTGTTATTAGATCTCTTAAAACATCAGTGTGATCATAGGTTCTTCTGAGGATAAGGACAAATAAAAGGAGACTTTATGGCACGGCTATAACATTAGTTTGGAAATGATGGCAGGGAAGGGACTGCTTCGTTAGAGGCTCTTTTGATATCAGTTTGTTACAATTCTCAGCAGCTTAGGTGAGATCATTCATTTTCCCTTTTTTTTTACATTAATCTGTAACTCAGTAGTCTTCTGAGGGGGAAAGAGTGCATGTGCACAATTTTATTTTTCGCTTTTGCAATAGTGGGTTTATGCTCTTTGGCAAACAAGAAGGAAGTATCTCTTCCAGGTAGTGTGTAATCTGGATGTCCTGAAGCCATCTGAGTCTCAGAGTGCCTCAGGGAGTGTTTTATTTTTCTTCTGAATGCTTATTACCTTCCTTTTCTTTCTTGTTGGCAGTTCCACTGTCTTTCTTGCTCTAACCTGGGGAGCTGTCTTCCTCTCCTCAGCATCCTGTCTCAGCATCCAAGCATGTGCTGATTTTCACCTCATTCTCTCCAAGGAACTTCAGTTCTTTCACTGATCTTCCATCACACCAAATTCAAAATCCTTCCTTCCAGCTGCTGCTGATCTTCAATATCTCATTTGTGCTGATAGCTAGGCTGTTTGCATTCAGTCCTTATTAAACTCCCTCCGTGTTACCATGCCTCTCCCGTGCCCAGCTTTTTTCTTTGCTTCTTGCCATACATCACTGTGCTCAAAGCCATCTCCTGGGTCTCCCCAGCTGATTTTCCCTTTGCGCCTCCCTCAGGCAGCTCCTCAACAACTATTCTCTTCAAAGTAGCTTTTTCAACTTGTTCATATTGCTCATCCTTTCCACATATTCTCCTTTGCTCTTTTCTTCTGCATTTTTTTCTCTGCATCTCTCTTGTCATACTGATTTGGCAAATGGTTTGGAGCAGAGCAGTGCACCATGTGCTTGCAATGCCTTGTGGGTTGTGAGTAATTGGGCTACTCACCCAGGATTGTGGGATGCCTAAAGCATTTTCAATTTGCACTGAGGATGGTGAAGTGCTATAAGTGATTGACCCCTAGGAGCAAATAGCTCTCTTTTGGCTGATAAAATCAGAAGGAAAATATCGAGCCTGACCTCTCGCAGCATTATCCAGAAGCATTTTACATTTCTGTCTGTCTAAGTATCATCATTTAATGATCTAAGCAAAATAAGCATTTTATATAGTGAAAAGCAGGTTTTTCGAAAGCAAATTTTCTCCTTTTTGCCATTTTCTCCTTTAAAGCTTTGGACTTTTAATCTCTTGATTTCCTCATGTTTTGTTTTTACTACTTGAACACTTTAAAGAATGACAGTGATTTTTAATTGAGAATAGCTCCAAAACCTTTAATCTAAAAATTCTAGTTTTGATTAATTGAGTGTAAATTGAAGGGCTTTCACATGCTTGCCAAGGGGTTTGGCAGAGGTCTTCTGGCTGCAGATGAACCTAGAAGATCTGCAGTGAAGACATTAAACTTTTCACCTGCCTTTATTGCATTCCCTTGCTGAAAATGACATTAGAGATAACCTGAAACTATATAGAGGTGGTGGCTATAAAGGGATTTTTTGTTTATATGGATTTTACATGGCATTATGTGGTATGGATTTTTTTCTGTTGGTATGGATTTTACGTACTGTGGTAAGCACTAGTGTCAAACGCTCAGAGAGATGATGGGTTATGATGCATTTGACCTGCCAAAATAGCTGTGCAGATGGCAGCAGGGTGCCTGTCCAAATCTCATGGCTGCAAAAACAGAGTGGGGTATTAGTCAGCAATACCCAGTGATGTTAGATGGTGGAGCTGACAGGCTGAAATCAAGAGATAATAGGGGGGTGAAAATGTAGAAGAAACTCAGTTGTGTGTTGGAGCAGGCAGTGACAATCCTTCTGTTGCCTGAGTACAAATACTCCTCAGGTGATCAAGGACCAGTTCTTGCTCTCAGTGCAGAGGTGCATCTGGTTGCTCAGCCAAGCATAGTTACCTTTACAATGGAGTGGATAATACTGACCTAAAAATCATGTCAAAAGGGGTCATTACAGCAAAACCCTTCATCCTATTAGTAGTAGTAGTATAAATGCCCACACATGTGAACAGATTTACTATTAATAGGATTCTCTGTATTTAACAGATCACTTATCAGAGGCCACAACTTGTTATGCAATCAAGAAGAGTCCATTTTATGTCAGTGATAATTTTTCCTCAAGGTCACTTTGCAAAAGCAATGTTATAGGCAACAACCTGTGGTGTTTCTTACCCATTAAGCCTAGAACAGTCTTAATGTTATCAAAAGTTGTGTGGCAAATTATATTGCTTGATCAAGTGACTGGACTAGAAGAGATGATCTTGCAGCGGAATATGGATTTTCTTGCTGATAGTGTAAGATTTTCATGTGTCCAGGTGCATTTTAGTTAATCCACAATTTGCAAAACCACACAGCAGGCAACAAAAAAGATTGATAGTGAGGCATCAGAGGCAGGAATAATACTAGGATGATGGGGGAAGACTATGGATCTAATTTTACCCTAGTACACATAACCCACATTGCTAGAGTATCAGAGGGATTTTTGAAGGTAATTCTTGAAAATATGGTGGTTAGAACCAATTTTAATATTGTATTTCAATAGCAATCATCAGCTCCATTGTGCAGAAAACTGCACATGGGTTTTCATGACAGAAGAGCGATAGTATTGTGGATTCTTCTGCATTTCTTTACTTATGAAGGTTGGAGCGAACAAATGGATTTTTCACTGTTGTCCTCATCCTAAAATCACAGTGACTAGGCAGAAAAAGGGTGCATAATGCTAGAGGGAGACAGTAAACAAGAAGCTAATCACATGAGATTGCCTTTGGGCTGTTTCAAAGCTATGTCCATAGTGGTTTTCACAGATACAAGAAATCAATGCATGAGTTCAGGAGAGCATTGAATCTGAAGCCCAGATAGGCTGTACCTAACTCTGCCTTTTTTTTTAGAGGGCTATAGCAAACCTGTATTTTTTTTTCTAATTTTGCAGTATTAACTTAAGTCTGGGAATGGGGTATTTCTGATTTTTTTCCCCTCTCATTTGAACACTGTAGCTACAGCAACCACTTCCCAAGATCAACTCAGGTTTCTATTCTATTCTATTTAAATAGTTGCTTGGTTAATTAATAGTTAAAGAGACATAGGACACTAGAGTCATTCTCACTAATATAGAATAATAGATAGTCTGTCTCCTGAATAGTTTCCTCATGAATAGATGCAAGGGACAGTAGGTGCATGAAAAAAGAAAAGGGGTATAATGTGCATCTTCTGGCAGTGTATTTAATGATGTGATACAAGGAAGTAAACTTTCCCGTTCTGATTATTAAAAAAGGCATCTAGAAAGTGAAAGTCCAATTGTTTCTCCTGCTTTATATCTTTGATGAGAGAAAAAGCAGGAAAACTTTTTCCAACCACACATTCCTAAAGCTACCCAACCTCAGGCACTTAGATATCTTGGGAGGAAAGTCCTTAAAAGAGGTAGCTGACTTCTGGGAAGCCAGACCTGGTGCTCTGAACACTTTGTGAAGGAGCTTCTCTCCAACCCTCCACCTTGTAAGGGTGACCCAGCCTCATCATTAGGTACCCAAAGGTAAGTAGTGCAAATATCCCCTGGAGCTCTCACTCCAACCCAGAGCCCTGAGAAGCACCCAGGACTGCTGCTTCTCTGCCTGCACTACTGAAGAAATGCATTGTGAATTGTGTTTCCAAGGGGGAATAGCAAGAGCCAGCACAATTTGGTCTGCTTTCTCCTTGAGAAGCAAAAGTTTGCAAAGGTAGGATTTAATTCCAATTAAATTAGTATAAATAAAACTGTTGGGGTTTTGAGCAGGGCCTGGCAAAACAACAAGAGGGACATGGATTTGTATCTCAAGTACACAGGATTTTACCCTTTCACTTGATTTCAGGATACAGGGAGGAGCTGGATTTTCAGCTATGGGGAGCTGCTCTGGGACTTGGAAAATCCAAGTGAAAACCTCTCTTTTTCATCACAACTGCAAACCCAAAAAGCACCAATTAAAAAGAAGTGTTTTCTTCTTGCAGACCTGCCACTCAGAGAAGTAAAAAATGGCGTCAACAGCACACTTCTCAGAGGAGGAGATGGCAGAGCTACAGGAGGCTTTCAGCAAAGTTGGTGAGTACAGAGAACAGGAAAGACATGGCTGAAGTGTGAAGCCATAGCAAGCTCTTTTGTCATGTACTGACCAGCTGTGAAGAAATGGAGTTTGCTCCAGCACTGATCTGCTGTGTCACAGCAACCACAGAAAGTCTTTTTCCTGCCACTGCAGGTCTCACAGATGAAACCACAGCAGCACGCTGCCGAGCAATGGCCTCTTATCAGAGGAGGATGTTGAGCTCCAGTGGGGTTTATGAAAAAATCAAAAGCTGTACAGAAAACCATATTGGAAATATGCTCAAATGTTTTGCTAAGAATATTGTTAATTTCTGACAAATTATTTGGAAGGCAAAAGGGTTGTATTTTAATGTGAATTGAGTACTCCCTATGGGAAGGAAGAATATGGAGAGGACAAATGTGCAAATGGCTAAAAAATTTGTAATCCCTTTACAATGATCTTTCAAACCCCATATATTTTTAATATGTGTTTCCTTTCCAAACCTTTAAAGGTCTCATCTGATTTGTCTCCTTCAAAGTCACATCACACAGACCCATCACCGTCTACCCAAATTCCAAGAAAAGGTCCTTGTTCTTCTCACAGCTCACTTAACTTTTATTAGCAGATCTATCAGCCTTGCTGGATTATGCATTAATCAGTTGTCAGGTGGTGGTTGTTTGATTTCTGAGCGCACAGTACTCTAGGCTGGCAATCTTAAAAATGTGGTCTCTGTGAGTGTCCCATACACCGAATGCACTGACAAGATAAATCACAGAATACTAGCATGGTTTGCATTGGAAGGGAACTTAAAGACGATCTCGCTCCAACTCCCCTACCATGTGCAGGGACACCTTCCACTAGACCATGTTGCTCAGGTTGCTCACACAAAATGCTAGAAAGAAGCTCTCATTGCTCTCCGAGACATTTCCCTCTCCAAGTCGAGATCCTTTTGTTGTATGACTTCAGAAATGGATAGGATATTCTTTGCAATCTGTATTAATCCGTGCTACTGATGCTGAGAGCCGAGTGCCTTTTCACAGTATGCAACAAGTGACTGAAATTGCAACTTACTATGCAGGAAATCAGCATGCAATTCTTTGAAATCACCTCAGCCTGCAGGCTGGGGGAAAAAAACCTGTAAAAAAGGAAACAGAGATATATAAAAGCCAAATATGAAAACTATATGTACATATATCTATGTACATAACCATAATGTTTTAACAGAAACTCTCCATGTGATAAACTGTTTGCATTTTTATCTGTGGATTTTTTCACAAACTAGTGGAGAAAAAAGGACTGTGTAACCTGTGTTTATGATCTTCTCATAAAATACTACCCCAGATCTTGCAGGAAGCTCAGCATGGCTATTTATGTTAGCACTATCACAAAGAAACATCCAAGTTTTTACTTTGAGGATGACCAAGCCTCTCAGTTCATTACTTCTGATGATATTAGATGCAGAAAACAGGCCAAAATCAGAAGTTATATAATAAATGCACATGTATATTGCATCAATTTCTTTTTCTTTCGATGTCCTGTATAAAGGATGATTTCTCTATAAATCATCTTTGTCTGTATGTAAATCTTGGAAAGGCAGTTATATCCATTTAAACCTAACTTTGTTAAGATATTACTATATGTCAAAAAAAATATAAATTCATCACTATGAGTTTTTGTTTGTTAACAGATGATTGTAATTTTTTCTTGGGTGTGAATGACACCAAAGCAGTTGAAAATACCAGATTTCGAGACAATAGATCTTTATACGTAATCTGCCTTTCCTTGGGTAAAATAAAAAACAACAGCCTCTATATGCAGAAAATTTCATTTGGGTGATGTAAAATGTAAAATTTGCTTTAATCTTTGCAGATATCAGTGGGGATGGCTTCATCGATGCCAATGAATTAACAGAAGCGTTAAAGGCAGCCAATTTCCCTCTCCCAGGATATAAAGCCAGAGAACTCATTCAGAATCTGACAACCACAGGGAATGGCAGGATCAGTTTTGATGAATTTATTTCAGTAAGTAAGATGTTATTTATTTCAGTAAGTAAGATGTTATTTATTTCAGTAAGTAAAATGCCAGGTGGGGTACTCAAGGCGGCCCCCGGGGCACAGCAGAGGCACGAGTGTAGGGTCTCATGGGCACCTTGTTAATCCAAGGAGTCTCCTCACTGGAAAAGTTGAAAGTAGAAGGTAACCAAACTAGAAATCCTAGTATTAACTGGGACAAGTTACATGAATGCAGCTGCTTATTTCACAGACTTTGTATGTTTCAGTTTGGTTGATGCAGCAAGATAAAGTTCTTCAGTTACAAGTTGCAAAAAGATTATGTTCTGGCTAGATGATTACAAAAAGTTTCAGCAGATTGAAACTGAAAACTTTATGAGGCATTTTTCTTTTTCCTGGTCTGAACTGGGTCAAAAGCAAACACTAAAATAGCAGAATTTCCCTTGGGATGGAGAAGCAGGTTTTTACTTGCCCTTTCTTCAAACCCAAACTGCTCTCCTCCAAAGCAACATTTCTGTTATTTAGCCAGTCCTTGTTCACTGCTTTGAAAGCATAAACACTGTGCATAATCCTGTTGTACCACAGCAGATACACAGACTGTACAGAGAAACCCACTGAAAAATACTCAAGCTGTCCTTCCCTATTATGAAGCAGAGAGAATGTGTCTCCTGGCCCAAGAGCTCACTGTTTTAGCTTGGTTTAATTCTCTAAAATTTTAAAATTGTCTCTCACGCTTGAAAGATTTTCCAAAACCTGAAGAGTGATGATGTTGCCAAGTCATTCAGAAAACAAATCAACAAGAAGGAGGGGATCTGTGCTATTGGTGGGACATCCGAGCAGTCCAGTGCTGGCACACAACATTCTTACTCAGGTAGGTACAGCTGTCCTGTGTTGATAGCAACAAGTGAGGCCTCAGAGATCACGTGCACCTTATCTCAGTGCAAGCCCAGGTGCTCTGGGCTCAGTGATCTTTGATGGCTGCTCAGTCAAGGCTGGTGTGTGCCAAAGAGCTGTGAAGGTGACAAAGCACCAGAGCAGGGTCTTTGTCAAAAGTAGCCTGAGGTAGTTTACTGGGGTGGTCACAGCTGTGGCTACGGGAGGAAGCTCCAGCCTATTTATCTTCCACTACTTTAAATGCACTGCAGTCCTGCTGTGCACAGCAGCCTCCTGGCACAGCTGCAGCAGCACAGAGACTGACCGGTTGATGTCCTGCTCGTCAGTGAGGGAAGACACAGGTTCCTCGCTGTTTCTAACCCATTTCCTCATACATTTTACCAGTAGCCAGTGCGTTATTCTGTAAACTCAGATAGTTCCTGACGTTTTTTCTATAGAGGGCACAACACCATCAGGGCTCTTATTCCAGCCTGTTTCTCCAAGCTGAAAGTTCAGGGCAGCCACAGTTGCTTCTGTTGCTGCCCCGGCACAGCTCACACTGAAGCAGCTCCACAGGGAGGAGGTCCCACCCTTGGCTGTCTTCTCCAGGGGCAAGAGTGGGGGACTGACTCTCTCCAGGGCAGGGAGAACAGAGGATGCTTCCTCTGATGTTTCTACCCACCTGAGCACAGACGTCTCCTCTGAGCTACTGGGGCAGTGTGAGCTGTTGCTGGTACAGGACAGCTATGCTACAGCCCTGTTGAACTACAGGCAACATTTGCCCATTACCTTCTGAATGCTCCTTGTCAGAGTCCAATCCTGGCAAATCTAGATATTCCACATGAAGAGGGTGTAAAGTATAATACAGAACTGACTTACTTGAATTTATTTGAAGTTATGTGGGATTTCTATTTAGCAGAATGGTACAAAAATGGATTCAAATTATGGTTCACGTACAAAATACTCTTTGCAGAGCTTAACATCTGCACCGTATAGTTGAATCACACAAACTTCACTACCAGTCTCTATAATACGCTTGCCCTCATGACACCAGGCAACCCTGGCGAGTGAGAAGGAATATCAACGGTGTATTAACCAGCTCAAGCCCATTGCTGTCTTCAGCTCATTTTCTTGTCTCCTCAGAGCCTTCTTCCATTTAGGGTTTTGTTGATCAATCACACTGGTGGGAGAGATGTTTGCCCCAGGAGTTCTGCCTTTGTAAGTAAAATGATTGTAGAGGTACTGCACAGCAAACTTATGGATTTGACATTGTGTCCGCAGAGGAAGAAAAATATGCCTTTGTCAACTGGATTAACAAAGCCCTTGAGAAAGACCCTGACTGTAAACACGTGGTCCCAATGAATCCAGAAACAGATGACCTCTTCCAGGCGGTTGGTGATGGCATAGTGCTTTGGTAAATAATACCTATCTTTCTCACAAATGGGAACCATGAGTCTGCAAAAACTCACATCTCTGCTTAAACAGAAGCTGCTGAATTTACAATAAGCTCATGAACCTTAGCAGACTCAGGGCCTTAATAATTCTATGGTTTTTTGCTTCTTTTATCTTCAAAAATATAAAGCATCTTTCATGTTTAATGAGGATTTTTTCTTGCCTCTAGACCCTTACAATTAGATGAAGTCAGTGAAATTTGAGGAGCTACTCGGTTTTATTTTTGCCCAAGGACTTTTGGGGTTTCACACAAAGCAGCACAAAATAGTGAGTGCTTTCACAGACATTTTCTGCACAATAAACTTTCCACATGACTTCACCTTGTGGCATTCTTGGCCTTGCACCTGTAGTACAGTCTGTATGTGACCCAAAAGAAGTACTGAGTGTGTGTCTCTATGTGTATATGTAGAAACAGGGGGTGACTATCCATATTTGTTAAGTAACTCTCCAGCTCTTGGACTTGTCCTACAATGTAGTGACAAGAGCTATATCTGTATTTTGTGCATGTGTAGTTGTTAGTGTATTTCTTGTTTTTTTTTTTCCTTATATTTCCAGTAAGATGATCAACTTTTCAGTGCCAGATACCATTGATGAGAGAACAATCAACAAAAAGAAACTCACACCCTTCACAATACAGGTACTAAAATACAACAAGATTCTTTTCTTCTCCCCTTCGGATCTTTTCACATAATCACTTAAAGCAAAGGCTGGATATACCATGGTTCTGCCCAACACAATCAGGCAAAGTTGTTTGTGGCAAAGTGAGATGCTCAGGTCTATGTCATAAAAACTTAAAGACTTATATTTCTGTTTCTCTCCAAACGTATGAGCAATCTGACTAACCAAACACAATGTATAATGTTTACCAGATCAAAGCTTTAGATACTTTTTTGGCAGATGCCATATGAATGCAAGAGCAACTAGATAGTACAGTGACCAATTCCAGCTGGAGTAGCTCTCAAAAGGCTGAACTCCACATCTAAGGCATGGTGATGGACTTGACTTCACAACTGCTGTGTTGCAGTCTGATGTCCTCATCAAAATATTAACTGTGATCCTGGAAGTACCATGGTGTGCAACATGCCTGAAATTGGACTAAAACCTTTGCCTCCCTTTTGCAAGCCTTGCTATTTCATCTTGAATACTGAAACACTTCTTTATTTCTATTACATGCACATGTGTATGACTTTAAAATTGGACAAATAATAGTGCTAATTTTCACCTATTTAAAGTTTATTGTGTTTCTCACTGAGCAGTATGTAGAGAGATTTATATATGCACAACATCTATGTAGCTGGGTATGGAATATAAATATATGAAATAGACATGAACCTAACCCAGTTTAGCCCTCAGCTACTCTGCACTTATGGAACATTAGCCAGACTCAAGTAAGCTCAAAAGCCATTAAATTGGATTTCTATGCTGTATATCACATTTTTCAGTTCTAATCATTTTGGTCAGCAGCATAGCTTAATGATGCAGCTCAGATCAATCCGTGTCACAGATAGACATGATTTGATCAATATAGCTTCCACTTTAACTTAACCCTTTTAGAGCTGTCTGGTGGAGAAAAGGTAATTAATTTGAAATGGTCCAATTTTTCTAGCTTATGAGAATTTACACTGTGTCTCTCTCTGCATTTGATATCTAATCTGATCTCCCCGTTGTGCCAGCAGTGCTGAAATTCACGTGAAAAATTGCAAATCTGTATCATAAATTATATTTTCCAGTCTTCTTTTCCTGCTTTACTTGTCCTCTGTTTACCAAGCCACCTTTTTAATAATATAGACCAATTTTTTTTAAATGTTCCTGAAATATCACTTGCTTTCTGCCCCTCACTGTGAATCACTGTGTCCCTCTGATTCCACTGAACACTCCCAGGAGTCTATAATCCAAAGTTCAGAAAGAAAATATCCAGACTTCACCAGTTCTGACCTTGGCTGAACTGCGAAGTTAAAAACTTAACAGGAATTGTACTGATTCCTATGAGAGTGTGCTTTTTGTAAACACTGCCAGCTAGTAACTTGTAACTTAGGCGTCAGGGCTTTTGCATAGTGCTTAGGGAGAGCTGGGCCTGGAATATCTGCCAGTCATTTGGACTGTAGCCTTGTTCCTCCACATGGGCAAGACTGAGCAGAGGAGAGCCTGCCCCATGCTGTAGCTAAAGTCTGTACTTGAGCATGTGCTTGAGCATTAGTTACAGGGAGATCCTGACTTTGGTAACCAGGATTGAGCCAGGACATCACTGTGAGTGCAGACATACGCTTTGATCTCCAATGCCCAGTGACATGGTTTTTTTCACCTTTGCCAAAGAGAGATTCTTTCTGTCTTCATGTTGGGACCCAGAACTTACCTGTACTCCCCAGGAGATACTGTATTCCCCTGCTCCCTGTGGTCAGACATGTATCCTGGGCTGCATCAAAAGATGTGTGGCTAGCAGGTCAAGGGAGGTGATTCTGTCCCTCTACTCTGGTGAGACTTCACCTGGAGCGCTGCATCAGGAAAGACATGGTTCTAGGTACATAAATGCATACACAGTGAGGCTGCCTGCAGATTTCACTAGTTCTGGCTGTGCTCCCTTCCTGTATCCTCAGTTCCCCAGTTATTGCATCATTCAAAACATCTCTTCTTTCCATAGGAAAATCTGAACTTGGCCCTGAACTCTGCTTCAGCCATTGGGTGCCATGTTGTTAACATTGGAGCTGAAGACTTAAAAGAAGGGAAACCTTACCTGGTTCTGGGTCTTTTATGGCAAGTCATCAAAATTGGACTCTTTGCTGACATAGAGATCAGCAGGAATGAAGGTACGTATGGCTCTTGATTTCAGTTGTCTACTGCTATCACTGAACAGTCTTTAGGATAAAGGTCTTTTAAAAAAAAAATAATTTTTTCTTCAAGTATATGTTGCCTGTTTTCTTGACTGATCTAGTTTTCCTTGCTTTTCACAAGTTCCGGCAGTCAAAAGTCCAAGGCTGTCTGTAGACTTATATGTTCAGAGCCATTTCAGTCTCATTGGATCGGGAATAATGGTCTACACCCAAGTATTGGTGTTTTGGCATTAAATCTGGGATAAAGAATTCTGCATTCAGAAAGCTTTGCTCTTTCTTGCTCTATTGCCAAACGTCTCCTCTTTCTTTGTGAAATCAGAATTATAGAATTACAGAATAATTTAGGCTGGAAGGAACCTCTGGAGGTCCTCTGATTCAGCCATTGAGCTACTTGCTTACAGTAGATGAGGTTGCTCAGGGCCTTCTCCAGTATTCTTTGGGCAGCCTATTCCAGAGCTCAACTACTCTTGCTCTGAATTTTTTTTTTTCTTATATCTAGTTGGAATTTCCCTTCCTGTACCTTGTGTCTGCAACTTCTCAGGTTTTTGCTTTGCATACTGGGCAAATGCAGACCTGGTTCCTCTATAATGGTTGAAGACAGTACTTGTTCCCCTCTCAAACCTCTTTCCAAGCTAAACAAACACAGTTTTCTCATCCTCTTCCCATATATCACATACTCCAATCCAACCAGCTTGGTCTCCCTGCACTGATTTGCCTCAGTTTGTCAATGTCTCTGTCATATTGGGGAGCCACAAACTGGCACTCCAGATGTATCTACCAATGCCAAAATTCTCCATGAAGTAGCTGCAGGGTGAGGGTGTGGGCGTGTACCTGCAGTTCACATGGCACCTCATCTTGCTGCCTTGTTCCCCATGCCTCTGGATAGTCTGCTCAACCAACTTTCCTCTAGTTTCCATGCAGGTGTTACCTTCATTGCCTCACCCTTTTCACATTTCTATACCTTTTATTGCCAGAGCCACCAGTTTCCAGAGTTTCCAGTTTCCATTCCTTTGTAGGTAGCCTTGCCTTGCTTAATTGGTATTTTTGACTTTCTGATATTTTCTCCTTCACTTCTCATCTAAAACTTCAGTTTGTCAGGGTAGACAAGCCAAGGTAATTTTTATTTCTTTTCAGGTTCTGTCTTTCCCTGATAGCCCTTCTCTACAATTGTTCTGGGTAAAATTCCCCTTTCTTGAACATGGGACACTGTATTTCCAATGAACTTTCCTGAGCATATGATATCAAGACAGTAGTACATCCCAACCTCTACGGGAATTACCTGGGATGCACTTAATATCATGTTTGTTTTTCCTATGGTCATATCAAATGGTGGCTCAGAGTAGCTCAGAAGATATCTAATACACTCAAGTTGTTCTCATCCTCTGTTCATATGAGCTTTTAGCTAACAGCGGTTATTCATATCAATTCCCTAGTGAATGTCTTTGAATATGGCATTATTAAATTACATTCCATTTTTATTACTGTCATGTAGTTCTCTCTGTCTGATTTCCTGATCGTCCTCTGTATTGACTATGCCACCTAGTGAATATCATCTTCACATTTTTAGCACACTGCTAGTATTTGTACCAAGATGATTGATGAAAAAAAAAAAAAAGAAAACATTAATCCAAAAATCAATCCATGATCAACTCCACAAGAATCCTTCTTCCAGCCTACAGTTAACACTCTTTCCTTCATAAAATCTTCTGTCTAGTTTCAAATGCTTTTATTATCCCCTCTGGTCCAGTTTAACGCTATTGCACCCTGTATCAAATTATCTATGGAACTCCAGATATAGTATGTCTCCACTGTTTCCTTTATGTAGCAAATCCATATTTCTTTCAAAAATTGACAAAAGATTGGAAGAAGATCAGAGTAGTGTGATGCTCTCCCCTTTTATCACATTAACAACTAGTTTCGAGGTTATTAGTTCTTTTTTTCAAAACTTGTTCTAAAGCCTTTCATGATCCAGAGATCAGCTGAACATACTGCAGTTGCAAGAGTCAGTCCTTCCCTCCTATCTGTTTGTCCTTTTATGAACATGAATACTATATTAATTTTTCTATAAAATAGGTATCTTCTCCAATTGACAGATGAGTTAACCCTACTGGCCCGCGAGCCCATGAAGTCATGTGCAAGTACTCCAGAATACCTGTGTGAATTCAGTTTCAGTGTGAAGGTCACTGAGATTTCTTTAATCTAAGCTGCAGAAAGTCTATGTTCATATTTTCATTCCAATCTTGCCCCCGTGTTCAGCATCACTGAGTCCAGCTCTGGACTTCTTAGCTCAGGAAAGACTTGGACCTGTTGGAGCAGGTCCAGAGAAGTGCCACAGAAAGGCTCAGAGTGCTGGAACATTTCTATGAAGGCATACTGGGAAAGTTGGGATTTTTCAGCCTGGAGAAGAAAAGGCTCCAGAGAGATCTTACAGCAGTACCCAAAGGGGCTTATAAGAAAGATGGGGACAAACTTTTTAGCAGGACCTATTGTGATACATAAGGGATAGCGGCTTTAAATAAAAGAGGGTAGGTTTAGACTAGCTATAAGGAAGACATTTTTTGTGATAAAGGTGGTCAGACACTGGCCTAGGTTGCCTCATCTAGGTGGTAGATGCCCCATCCCCCAAAACATTCAAGGTCAGGTCATATAGGGCTTTGAGCAAACTGATTTAGTTGAAGATTTCCCTTCTCAGGGGTGTTTCTTAGACCACACTGAAATTGTCTTCCACTTCTACATGATCCACTACTAGATACACAAATAACAGCCTTTTTCTCATTTTATTGATGAGACCCTTTTTCTGTTTATGTCCTCTGTCATGCTAACGCACCTTGAATTTTGGCAACACTTTGGCCACTCACCTTTAGAGAGAGAACAACCATACATTCTCCTCAGAAAGTATTCACATTATTTTTTAATTTTTTTTTTCCCATCCCTGCTTAGCCTTAATTGCTCTTCTGAGAGAAGGAGAGAGCCTGGAGGATCTGATGAAGTTGTCTCCAGAGGACCTGCTGCTGAGGTGGGCAAACTATCATCTGGAAAATGCAGGATGCAACAAAGTCAACAACTTCAGCTCAGACATCAAGGTATGAGAAACACTGACCAATAACAGCAAAACAGCAGCTGCCACCCAAATTTCTGTCTTCCACACAGGGATTGAACACTGAAACAATCCAAGCAGCTGAGACTGCTTTGTTGAAGACATGGAGCTGGGTGCATAGAATGTTTTTAGTGGGGTTTACCTTTCCACTCACTAGTATTCCTCCTTGTCCCAACCTCCCAGTCATCACTGTCAGCCCCAGCACACCAAATGCCTGGGAAAGGAATGGCTGCTGGCTCTGGACAGGGCATATGGACTCTACAACTGTATTTTCAGTTTTTTGCCTCTATTGCTTTCCTCTTTCCTAAATTTCTTTAAGTGACTCTTGATGTGACTTTGGTTTGGAAAAGCCTGAACCTTACTCAAATATGTAACTAGATACAGAGGAAGGGGATGGGGCTCTTCCAGTTCCCCCGTTTGGTCTTTCCTTCAGTATGGCACCTGCCCCAACCTCTGCTGTAGCCCTGAATGCATGTAATCTACTTTATATTTTGAATAACATTAGTTGAGTTAGTTAGTCAAGTCCCTAGCCATTAACACATAGCTTTATTTTCAGTTCTTTGAGCTATTTTTGAAGTGAGTTAATATTTTCCACATGTGGAAGCAACGTTATACTTCACAGAAGATTAAAGACACAACATGTTAAATTCTTGTCTTGTTTCTGCCCTTTTTCCTGAAAAATGCTGATACTGTTGTTAGTTTTAACTTTTGTCCTTGAAAACTATGCTTTCTCTTCCATAACTGTTCAAGCAATGCTTAGAAATCCTCTTTAAACATCTGCTTTCTCCTTCTGCATTTTCTTCTCTTAAATGCTCAGCAGCCTGACTTCTACAACATTATAAAGGTATGCATTTTGTTATCTCTAATTTTGTGTTCAGATTAAGTAGATTCTAATATCTCTTCATTGTTGCTGTCCTTTTTGTAAGTGCAGCACACAGTATTTTGTATTGTGTGTTGAACATTCTGCAGCACATTGGCTTAGGGAAGAAATAGATCTGGCAAACACAGCATAAAGTAGGAATTGCTAAGTGCTTCCAGCTTAATTAATTTAATTACGTAGCCCAATGATCGATGTAATAAAAATGAAGCATGCAGGCACATTGTTCAGGGAAGTACTGGCATGCAGAGGCTGAGCTTTAGATGTAATTTTTCTTCCCTTTAATTTCTCTGTCTGTCACAGGACTCAAGAGCTTATTACCATTTGCTGAACCAAGTTGCCCCCAAGGGAGATGAAGAAGGCATTCCAGCTATTACTATTGACATGTCAGGATTAAGGGTAAGATGAGATAAGTTTAGAGTAAATGCCGATATTTTCTGTCTGTTACTTGCATTGCTGGTCAACATAGGGTTGCACTGGGATGTCAGAACAAGCAAATCATTTTTAGCATTGCAAAATGATCTTGTATTTCAGAAATCAAAGCTTTCAAAAATTAAATTATGTGTTTTGACTTTTGTTTGATATTATCTCTAAAACTTTAGCCACACTTATAAACTACTAGCATGTAACAAGTGTATTTAAGTAAATTTATTTAGGAATTTCATAAAACCATCACATTTTGTATGGAATATGACTTAAAAGCAATATGGTGAGATAGTCGAATTATAGACAAAGCTCATTTGAAAACACAGACTTGCCATTAGCAGAAGTGGGAAAGGGAATAGCTATAAATCCGTCAAGGACCTGCTTTGACAGTTCCACACCTAGATCCACACATGGAGATCCCAGGTGGGTCTTGCATGCAGTGCCAGGCAGTGAGGTGAGGCTGATGCTCTGCTTTGTGCCAGCACAGGAGAAGGACGATGTGCAGCGAGCGGAGTGCATGCTGCAGCAGGCGGAGCGCCTGGGCTGCCGGCAGTTCGTCACTGCCACTGACGTCGTCCGGGGGAACCCCAAGCTAAATCTGGCCTTCATCGCCAACTTGTTCAACAAATACCCTGCTCTGCATAAGCCAGAGAACCAGGACATCGACTGGAGCTCCATTGAAGGTCAGGAAACTACAAATAAAAGATGCTTCTGGCCACCTGTGCCACAGTATCCCCATCTTTGAGTTGATGATACATCAACCTAATCTTATGTCCTTCAGACATATATTCGCTGCCCTGTTAGCGCAGGCAGTCTTTGGAAACAGAGGCTGTCCTTTACCTGCTTGTAGCTTTTCATAATCTGAGGCTCTGTTTTGTGGATAACACATGCTTAAAGACAAAAAGGTTTCTGGGATGTCTGAACCAGTACGGACTATTGAGCATGCTTTTAGTTGAAATTAGAGTTGGTCTGGCATTCTCTTATTTGAGGATATAAATTAAAAATCAGATCTTGCATAAACCTGCTGCCTGCTAGCTCTGGACTGGGGTCAGGAGCATCATTTGCTGAGCTTCAGGTCCTTTTTTTTCAGCCTCACAGTGAAACTGTTCATGCTGGGGCAGAGGCCGTTCTTGATTTCTTGAAGGCATTTAAAGGCCAATCTGGCAAAATACTATAATATATAGGCCATGAAGAAATATTGCATGGTGTACCATGCTTTCTTATTTCACGTGTCAACCAGTGTCTCCTTTTGTTATTTCAGCACACTGTAAATTCAGTTAGTGTTTCTTCACAAGACACTTATTTTACTGGACTGTTTTGTTTTGCAGGCTTGTTGATTGATGTATCTGTTGTTTTAGGTGAGACAAGGGAAGAGAGGACGTTCAGGAACTGGATGAACTCCCTGGGCGTTAATCCACGTGTAAATCACTTATATAGGTAAGACAAGGTATTACACTTCCTTCAGATGATAAACACAGCCATAAATTGCTTACAAAATATATATAGAGAATATATGCTGCTTTTTGTTTTTTTAGGAAACTAAGTTTACCTCTACTAAGTTTAGTCGTGTTTCCTTTCTCTGTTCTTTAGACAATAATGTTTCTTTTTTTGTTGTTGCTTTCAGTGACCTGTCAGATGCCTTGGTTATCTTCCAGCTCTATGAAAAGATCAAAGTGCCAGTAGACTGGAACAGAGTGAACAAACCACCATATCCTAAACTGGGTGGCAACATGAAGAAGGTAAAAAAACCTGGAATAGATCCAGCAGTGATATCTTGTCCTTAGAGAATGTTTATAGTTTCAAACAATGGTGTGGGTATTCATGTTGCTCTCCAGTGCAAACTACAGCACATTAAATGATTTTTTTGTCTAGTTAGTGATTAATTTTCATCCTGAAAAATAAACATACATTCAACTCGCTCTGTTGACAGGTGAAAAATATTTGTAAAGTAAAAAGACTTGACAACTTCTGCACAATTCTTTAAAATCTGTATTTGCAGACCACTTTTGCTACTATTTTAAGCACCAATTATAATGCGTCTGCACCAAGAGACACGTGGCACCAGCTTAATTGCAGCTGTCTGGATCACTGCCCTCCACATCAAATGAAGAAAGTGATGATAAGCATTCTTGACCAAATGCATCAAGAACCAATCACACAGCTGCTGCTAAATGCAAAGCAATTTTGCAACTATTTGGATGAATAATTTCATCCAGTTAGACCAGAGCAATCTACTGACCTAAAATATCAACTGGGACACTAACTCTTTGTCTCAGTGCAATGCCATGACGCTGGAGGTACTACCCATGAGCCAAAAATTTTTATTTTCTGGGATAGTCTACTTTTCAGGCCCTGGTGACAAAGAATAACATTACCGTCAATGTTAACTGCTTACCATGGTATTTTTGGGGTGGAACTGCCCACTAGTAGTCAAGCAACCGTATTATCACAGAGCTCCAAAGTTTCTGTTTGCCCAGGAAGATCTAGGCTGAGGAATCCAAGGAATTTAAAGTAACAGTGTCTTGTATTCTTTTTTTTTTTCCTGTGTTTTTGAACCACACCAATTGAATGTGCCATCAACAGCTTGAAAACTGCAACTATGCAGTGGAACTGGGAAAGAATCAAGCCAAATTTTCCCTTGTTGGCATTGCTGGGCAAGATCTCAATGAAGGAAACCGTACACTCACCCTGGCCTTAATCTGGCAGTTGATGAGAAGGTATGTCAGTCAGCCACAAACTTCAGAGCATTTTGGTATACTCAGTTTGCATTGTAATGAAATCCTGATGCTATCACTGAGAAGGCTGAACAGGCTACATCTTTCTCACTCCTCTGTTTGCACTTAAATACAAAGGCAGAATTTCTAGCTAGGATTGCATCCTAGTTAGGGATATGATCAGAAAGCACAGGTCTTGTGGGCAAGGCCATTACAGTCAGCACATGCAGAAGATTATTATTGTCACTACCTGTATAACATGAATAAATGTTCATTGCATGGAAGAGAGGAAAAGAAGTTGAAAGGTCTCAATGTCAGGGAATGGGGAGAATGTATTGGAAACAAGGAAATGATGCAGAAGTTGTGTAACCTGCTATCTGAAGTGGGTACAACTCAGTAGTTCTCCCCATTTTAATGGAAATCTCTATGTGTGTACATTTGTGTGTTTAAGAGCTCTGTGCTGTAAAGAGACCCAGTTAAGAATTGAATACAAACTAAATTCAGACTATAGAGAAAGGTACAGGTTTATCAGGCAGGTACTTAACTAGAGATGTTGTGATTATTTACCATCAAATTGTGATGTCTTTCCAAGGTGTATGCTCACATATAAGAAAAATATTCCAGGCTTATTTTTATGCAGAAGGTGAGCAGAATGATTCCCTTTTGTTCCTGAAGTCAGTGATTATTTTTTAAGCACTATGAGAATGAGTCATTTACACTGAGATCCATTAAGAGTGACCTTCTAGGAATTTTGAGTATCAAAAACTTTTAACACTCCCAAAACAGTGATTAAGGAATTGGGGATAAATTAGATTTATTAGATTAATTATTGTGTTATAATATAAATCATATGCACGGCGAGTGTGTGGGAGGCAGAGGAATATCAGGTCAAAGAGGACTTTTGGGGTGATCCCAGTC